GGACCCTTCCAGAGGGTTACCCCCAGGCTTATGGGTCGCCACTGCCCCAGGTACCCTAAACGCTTGTGGCTCACAACAGGTCCTCCTAGGGAGGCGCCCCAAACAATGATAGTGCTAAATAAATACATACCGCAAACTCTTACAAATGTGATAGGTCATAAGAGGTAACATCATCACAAATACAGCAATAGAAAAAAAAACAAATACAGTCAGTACAACACCCCAACTCATGTTTGCTGTTGATATTTATTCTCCTTTTCATAATCAGGTTACGATAATACAAATGCGATGGCGTATTTACTTAACGTTATTTATATCTCCCAGAGTTTAATGAAAACATCCAACAGCAAATGTCCTCCTATTGAACTGATGATCACATCATCCAATCACAGTTAAGTAAAGGATTACTGGACATGCAAAATAACCAAAAAAAAAAAGTTCTTGGGGCGATGCTCAGAAGGGTCCCTAGCCCTGTCTCGCCCTGGCAGAGTCTCTGCCACCCCTGAAAGGCCCTCACACTAGGGCCATTCCAGCGCCGATGTCCCAAAGTTCCATAGAGGCGCCACAGCCCCTGGCAGGTTCCCTTTGGGGCAGAGCGCTCCATAGAGGATCCTGGGAGACACCGCCCTGGAAGGCACCAATGCGCCAACTGCCGCGCCAATCCCTGGGGCGCCAAGTCCCTGGGAACACCCTCAAGCCCCCCGTCCCCGTAAGGGACCCTGATCGCCGTTATCCCTGTGAGGGTCACTTGCCATCCCAGGCATGGAGGCGTTCCCAGGCCCCCCCAGGGTAGGCGGTACACCAAAAACCTGTCAGAAGCTGATCCACCAGGAAACTCTTAGGGACAACTCACAATTAGTGCCTTTACTGGGAATGCGACGTCCACAAGGCCCTCCAGGAAATCCTAAACTCCATGGCCTCCAGGGAAAACCTCAAAGCGTCCCTTGCAGGGACGCAACGCTTCTAGAACCATCACAGGACGGCGGCGCCCCCATGGGCCCAGCTAGCATTACGACCCTAGCCCCCTCACAGACAGCCATGATCTATGGGCCCCCAGCGACGGGCGCTTCCAGGCACGCTCCTAGGATCGTGGTGCTCCCAGAGGCCCTGCCAGTGGCGTTGGCGCCTTGAGGGACCCTTCCAACAGTTGCCCCCCCAGGCCCTTTATGGGTCGCCACTCACCCCAGGTACCCCACCAAGGCTTGTGGCTCACAACAGGCCTCCCTAGGGAGGCGGCGCCCAAACAATTGATAGTGATGTAATATAAACGCCAGTAATCTTCTTACTAAAGTGATAGGTGCAAGAGGCAACATCACCAAATTACAACAATAGAAAACAGAACAATCAGTCAACACCTCAACTATGTTTCCCTGTTGGATATTTATTCTCCTTTTCATAATTCAGGTTAGATAATACTGAAAATGCGATGGGCGGTGTATTTACTTAACGTTATTTATATCTCCCAGAGTTTAAATAGTGAAACGAATAAATATCCAACAGCAAAAGCATAAGATGGGGGTGTTGTGCTGACTGTTTCCTCTGTTCTCCTATTGGCTGTAATTTGACGACGTCATCTGCACCACCAATCACAGTTAAATAAGGATTACTGGACGAATGCAAAATGTCTAAAAAATATGAAGTTCTTGGGGCGATGCTGCATTGGAACGGTCCTGGGGCTCTGTCGCCCCTAGAGTCTCTGCCACCTGGAAACTCCCTGCCACCGAGGGCTCATTCCAGCGCCGATGTCCCCAGAAGGTCCCGCCGAGTACAGTCCCTGGCAGGTTCTTTAAAGGAGGCGCTACAAAAGATCCTGGGGACACACCGCCTGGAAAGGCAACTGAATGCGCCACCGCTGCTATGGCCCCCTGAGGCGCCGCTGTCCCTGGAACACCCTTAAGGCGCCCCCGTCCCTGAAAGGGACCTGGGATCGCCGTTATCCTGTGAGGGTCCTTGGCCATCCCAGGCATGGAGGCGTTCCCAGGGCTTTTCAGGTAGGCGGCCCCAGGGACCTGTCAGGGAGCTGGATCCACCAAGGGCACTTAGGGACAACTGCAATCCTAGGGGCCAAGGCGGACGTCCACAGGCTCTCCAGGAAATTCCGAACTTCATGGGCCTCTCAGGAAGGGGCAACGCCTGGCGAAGTCCTTGCAGGACGGCAACGCTTCTAGAACCATCACAGGGACGGCGGTGCCCCCATGGGCCCTGCTAGGGCATTGGCGACCCTAGGCCCTTACAGAGACAGCCATGATCCATGGGGCCTTTCAGGACGGGCGCTTCAGGCACGTCCTAGGGATCAGGTGCCCCAGAGGCCCTCCAGTAGTGTTGGCGCCTTGAGGGGACCCTTCCAGGGGTTGGCTTCCCCAGGCCTCTTAAGGGTCGCCACTGCTCCCAGGCACCCACCAAGGCTTGTGGCTCACAATATCCTCCAGGGAGGCCCCAAAAACAATGGATAGTGATGTCAATATTGATTCTGCCAGTAACTTACTTAAATGTGATAGGTGGCATAAGAGGTAACATCATCAAATTACAAGCCATAGGAAACAGAATAATCAGTCAGTACAACACCCTCAACTTATGTTTTGCTGTTGATATTTATTCTCCTTTTCATAATTCAGGTTGCGATAATACTGAAAATGCGATGCATGTGTATTTACTTAACGTTATTTATATTCCCAGAGTTTCAAAAAGTGAAACGAGAAAAATATCCAACAGCAAAGCATAAGATGTAAAAGCAAATGACTGTTTCCTCTGTCCTATTGGTTGTATTTTGATGACGTTACATCTTGCACCACCAATCACAGTTAAATGGCGATTAACGGAAATGAAATGACGTACATATGAAGTTTTTGGATATGTGGAAGGGTCCCTGGGGGTTTGCTGCCCTGGCAGTTCACTGGAAAGGCCTCCCCTGCCACTAGGAGGGCCCATTCCAGCGCCGATGTCCCTAGAAGGTCCCATAGAGGCGCCACAGTCCCTGGCAGGTTCCTTGGGGGGCAGAGGCGCTCCATAGAGGGATCCTGGGGGAGACACCGCCTCTGGAAGGGCACCTGAATGCGCCACCGCTGCGCTATGGCCCCTTGGGGCGCCGCCGTCCCTGGGAACACCCTGCAAGGCGCCCCCGTCCCTGTAAGGGACCCTGGGATCGCCGTTATCCCTGTGAGGGTCACTTGGCCATCCCAGGCATGGAGGCGTTCCCAGGGCTTTCTCAGGGTAGGCGGTGCCCCCAGGGGACCTGTCAGGGGAGCTGGATCCACCAGGGGCACTCTTAGGGACAACTGCAATCCTAGGGGCCTTTTCTGGGAAGGCGACGTCCACAGGGGCTCCTCCAGGAAATTCCGAACTTCCATGGGCCTCTCAGGGAAGGCAACGCTCCAAGGGTCCCTTGCAGGGACGGCAACGCTTCTAGGAACCATCACAGGGACGGCGGCGCCCCCATGGGCCCTGCTAGGGGCATTGGCGACCCTAGGGGCCCTCACAGGGACAGCCATGATCCATGGGGCCTCTCCAGGGACGGGGGCGCTTCCAGGTACGTTCCTAGGGATCGTGGTGCTCCCAGAGGCCCTGCCAGTGGCGGTGGCGCCTTGAGGGACCCTTCCAGAGGGGTGGCTCCCCCCAGGCCTCTTTATGGGTCGCCACTGCTCCCAGGTACCCTACCAAGGCTTGTGGCTCACAATAGGTCCTCCTAGGGGAGGCGGCGCCCCAAAACAATGGATAGTGCTGTCGTAATATTGCATTCTGCCAGTAATCTCTTACTTAAATGTGATAGGTGGCATAAGAGGTAACATCATCAAATTACAGCCAATAGGAAAACAGAACAATCAGTCAGTACAACACCTCAACTTATGTTTTGCTGTTGGATATTTATTCTCCTTTTCATAATTCAGGTTGCGATAATACTGAAAATGCGATGGGCGGTGTATTTACTTAACGTTATTTATATCTCCCAGAGTTTAAATAGTGAAACGAGAATAAATATCCAACAGCAAAGCATAAGATGGGGTGTTGTGCTGACTGTTTCCTCTGTTCTCCTATTGGCTGTAATTTGATGACGTTACATCTTGCACCACCAATCACAGTTAAGTAAGGGATTACTGGACGAATGCAAAATGTACGACAAAACTATGAAATTCTTGGGGCGATGATGCATGTGGAAGGGTCCCTGGGGGCTCCGTCGCCCCTGGCAGAGTCTCTGCCACCCCTGGAAAGGCCTCCCCTGCCACTAGGAGGGCCCATTCCAGCACCGATGTCCCTAGAAGGTCCCATAGAGGCGCCACAGCCCCTGGCAGGTTCCTTGGGGGCAGAGGCGCTCCATAGAGGGAACCTGGGGGAGACACCGCCTCTGGAAGGGCACCTGAATGCGCTACCGCTGCGCTATGGCCCCTTGGGGCGCCGCCGTCCCTGGGAACACCCTTCAAGGCGATTTCTCCTCCACCCCCACTTCTAATTGCCGTCATCAATAAAAACCAGGACCTTCTACATACACACCTCAAAGTAAGTGTACTTTACTGCAGTTTTTTTTTACTTTGTATGTACTTTTCTGTGAGCTGGAACCAATTACCTTATATCCCACTGAAACAGTGGATTCGGTTAGCGAAATTTTTGGTTAACGAACGACTCTGCGGAACGAATTGTGTTCGTTAACCGAGGGGCCACTGTATATAAAATGCACCCTCAGAAAGCATGAATTTGCAACCAGGGTTTAACAATTAATTCATGTATAAGATTTCTGATAAACTTCCTATCTACTCATGTTTGAAATAGTGAATGTATGTATCTTTATATAATTTAGCTAAATATCTTACTCGTCAGAAACGGTCATCCCAACGATTATGAATAAATTCATTTAGAAATACGTCATTACTTCAGGATGAAATTGGACAGATTTGCAACAGCCAATCAGTTGTAACTCTTGAGGAGGGGGCGGGGTATCTCTTCTCAGCTGGAAAAAACACAGTAAAACTACGATTCATATTTAAAACCCTGGTTAATTTAGGAGCCGATTCAATTTACACTGTTATTTTATTTGTATTTACAGTACAAGGAAAAGAGCAAAAATTAAATAAAATTACATTTTTATATAAATAATAACTAAATCCTGATATGTATTTTACAAATATTTAAAAAACATGCCTTGCACACAGAGGCTGCTGGCTTGTGAGTGGTGACCCCATGTTGAGTAGAGTGAACTTGTGAATCTTGATAAGTGAAGCCATTCTCCCTTATTTTTCCCCACTAGTGTCCCCAGATCCACCCCAAACAGAAGTAGAGACACTTTTATAGTAAAAATATTAGACAGGTCGATAAGATACTGTAATGTACAATACCACATAGGGCCTGCAAATTAAAATTGTCTCAACTACCTGAGTAACAAGATATAATATTCTTGGACTGACCACCCTAATAGCTATGTGTAACAACTATGCTTCAAACAGTTCACTGGTTCTGGAGAAGTTGAGAAATGGTCTTTAAAATTCATTGCTACTAATGCCACACAGTTGCAATAGTCATAACCCACAAAGTAATTATCAGTCAACAATATCATGAATATCCAACATAAAAAGTTTAATAAAATATGGCAGTGTTCTAACAATAGAGGATGGTGACAGTTGGTGACCTAAATATACATAAGCTAGATATAGCCTTCTGTTGAGTTAGCTAAGTAAAACAATAGACAATAACAACCAAAACAATATCACAGGAATTAAAAGAATACAGTAACAACATTGTGAAGACTCATTATAAAATCAGTCACAAAATTATTCCAAGATGATATGAATACAGAACATAAAACACCGGTGATTTATGACCATGGATTCTGTACACTTTGATGCTCCTCACATTAAGTGGGAGAACAGATCAATATATTCAGGAGAGGAGGTAGACTGCAAGAGATGTACAGAGGCAGTGTTTAAGTTGATCTGATTAGGGATATACAGGTATTGTACCATTAAACACTGCCAGAGGGTCGACTAGACAGTACAAGGAAGAAATTAGTTTTAAATGAGAGTGGAAGACAAAATGCAACAAGTAATATGGCTCACTGTGAGTTGACTAACCCACCTTGGGAGAGAAGAAAGGGCTGGTCACTACTGGTATTCAATACCATCTCAAATGTTGTGCCAAAGAACCTACATATCAAAAATCATAAAACTATAAAAAGAAGGAAGTGCTATGCCAAGAAATATATTGTCAACAGACAGGACAAAGAAATCCAGGATGATAATGAACACCCCTACATCACAGTCTTTATCATTGCCATGGTGAAGTGAAAAACTAAAAATAATGATTGTTCCAGCACATAAAGTGATTCAGGTTACTCAAAATAATTATGAGAAGAAAGGAAAAATAATAAGAGTAATATACAATCTTGCATAGCTTAACAATTGCACAACAATTACCTGAATATTCTTGTTACCAGGCATTAGTGTGTTGGAAGATGATTGACACAATTCTGTGGAGGACACATATCAAAGAGAGGGTAATGTGGCATTACACTGTGGTTGTATATGTGAGAGTTGTACCCATGAAGGAAGCCCGACATAGCTGCTGGATGGTTTACTCCTCCTGAGGCAGGAATTTGGGTAGTGTGAGTTGGAGCAACAGTCCCAGGCACAGTACCAGAATGAGCCATTGGAGGAGATATTGGCTGGCCAGAATGTACAGCCACCCCACTCCCACTAGTTCCCACTCCATGGGGATGTGGTGCCAGGTGTGGATGTGGGTGACTGTGAGTGGGATGAACAGATGACTGTTGCATTTGTGGGGGCTTTGAAGTGCGCCTGCAGGGAATTCTGGGATTACGATGTGGTGGCAGTCTTCCACGTCCACCACTGGCTCCCTGACCAGTATCTTCCCCACCACCTGTCTCTTCACTGTGGTTGGTTCGCATATGGGTTTTCATATGATGAACCTGGAACACAAAGACTCTGCTACAGCCTTTTAAGAATTCACCAGTTATTACAGTTCATTAATATTTAATAATGATAAAAAATTCATAGACTATCAACCAATCTGTAATCCTTTTAATGTTGGCTATCACTGGAGGCATTTCACAGAACCTTATAGATTACAAATTTGAACTTAATCACTCCCAGTGCTTGTCTTCAAATACTGATAAAAGTATCTTTCTGACAGTAAGTATCTTTCCAGTAAATTTACATTGAAAAAGTTACTTCTCCAAGGCTAGGAATAAAAAAAAAACCTGCACCATAGTCTGCTGGCTGGGAGGAGGGGGGAGGGGTAAGTGGGGTGTTGACAGCCAGGAAGGGAGATTAACTCGCCTGTAGTCGTCAGGAACTCAAGGATTATAAAAGGCAAAGAATTTAAGTTTTTTGCTTATAAAGTGACTTGACTTAGCAGAATATAACTTGTATTGATGGAATTCTTGCAAGATACCGATTAATATGGGTGTAAACATCCCAATGTTTGCACTAGACATAAAATTTGTAATAATTAACTTAGTACATTTGAATACAGGTTGTGAAAATTTATGTGGTTGCCCAACAGTTGTGATTGCAGTTCTGAAGCTTTGTGACATCACTAGTGTATAATGTGTCTCCATATGTCCTGGTTTATTCACTGATCAGTTGGCTAAGTGCAAAAGTAGCTAAATCGAGCCATCATGTATCAATTAATTTTAACATAGAAATTATAAAGTAAAATACTATAAGCCAATGGTTTAGTAGTGCTGTTAATGTGTGTGCTGTGTAAGCGTCTTGGCATGTCACCTCACCACCTGCTTCCGTCACCTCACCCTTTGCCTCGTCAGCTCAGCTCGGTATTACACTGATTTATTACTGTATTATTTTTACCTCTTTAGTATTTTATATACATTTAAAGAAATAGTTATATTTGCACAGTAATTATAAATAGACCAAGAGCAGAAAAATCCAGCATTACCCAAGTGGTTGGTCTTCCCACCCACGCACCTACCACATGAGGATGCAGCTAAACATGGTGCAATCTTTCATAACACTGGAACACTTGTCCCCAGGCCCCGAGCAGAAAGGTTTGGAATGATTTTCTTGCAATTTTCTCAGATTTTCCGATAATTCTGTTTTATTTCATGATTGACATTTGCTCGTAGACCCAGAAATAAAAAATTGGACAGATTTTCCAGATGTTGGGGGTGTGTGGGTGGTGTTGGGGGTGTGTGGGTGGTGTTGGGGGTGTGTGGGTGGTGTTGGGTGGTGTTGGGGGTGTGTGGGTGGTGTTGGGGGTGTGTGGGTGGTGTGGTGTGTGGGTGGTGTGTGTGGGTGGTGTTGGGGGTGTGTGGGTGGTGTTGGGGTGTGTGGGTGGTGTTGGGGTGTGTGGGTGGTGTTGGGGGTGTGTGGGTGGTGTTGGGGGTGTGTGGGTGGTGTTGGGGGTGTGGGTGGTGTTGGGGTGTGTGGGTGGTGTTTGGGGGTGTGTGGGTGGTGTTGGGGGTGTGTGGGTGGTGTTGGGGGTGTGTGGGTGGTGTTGGGGTGTGTGGGTGGTGTTGGGGTGTGTGGGTGGTGTTGGGGGTGTGTGGGTGGTGTTGGGGGTGTGTGGGTGGTGTTGGGGGTGGTGTTCAAGGTAAGCCATTAATAATGTTTCTATGTACACGTCATGTGTCTGAGGTGTCTCTGTAGGTGTGAGCATATTAACAAAATTAATCTTGATTTAGAGAACTAGTTCACTAAATTGAGTGAAAAATCACGGAAACAATTCCTTCCGCTAAATCGAGGATTTGTTATATCGGATTCCGTTAAATTGAGAGTACTGTACTGTATATTGTATATATCAATTCCACTAGAACTTTTTCCAAACTTCTAAATTGGCCGGTCTGTGAGGGGTAGTGAAATTTCTCCTAGCCCAATGTTTGAGGGTTAAGAGTTCTGAAAATGAAGTAAGAAATATTACCTGTGAAAAAGTGAGAAGACATATACCACAGGTGTACGGTCTTTCCCCCGTGTGTCGTCTCATGTGTCTCTTATAATTGCCAGACTCCACAAACTGCTTGTTACAAACATCACAGGTGTATCGAAGTTCCTTGTTGTGATATCTCAAGTGTACCTGAAAATTTCATAGAAACATAAATATCAGGAAATCACAGCTTATAGAACACAAATACTATCAATAAAAAAATCTTATGAGTGCTGCCATGCTATCTCCCTCAAGTCTGTAGTTTGTCAGTATTTGCTCAGCTGACAGCCATGGAATGTAGCCCTTCATCCACCCTATAATAAGGTCCAGGAGGATCAAACATACCATATACTGTACAGTAAAAGCTCGATAAATCAGACTTCAATACATCGGAATTCGCTTTTTTCGGACTCTGAGATGCTCTGGTCACCAGAAATACTAAATAAATAAATAAATAAATAAGTAAGTGCATATTTTAAAAAATGGTGAAGATTAAAAAAATCTTATCAAAAGAACAACACTTACTCACTGAATATTGTACAGTGGTCTATAGGCCTACTGAGAATTAAGGCATTGAGTATAGTATGTAAGCAGGCTGGGGCTGATTGGGTGTTGCCACATTCCTCAGGTTTATTTATCTATTTATGGATTCAGTATTATATTCTCATATGATTGGCCCCTTATGGTTTATGTTTCATCATGATTAATGCAACATCTTCAGTAATGGAGAAAAAAATACAATAAGTAATTTGTAATGTGACTTGAAAATAAAAGGATAAGCTGTGTTGAAATTTATTCACACTCATGATGCATTATGGTGATCCTTATAATTTGTTTAAGTGCTAACATAAATTTGGACAAGTTTGGAATGAACCCAAGGAGTGATTCATGAGTGTGTGTTCTATTGAAATGTTCCTATACTCGACTTGGATGTAATAAATAATCTTAATGATGTTTTAGTGCTATCATTAACACTTCAGTATCCAGTATTTGTGGTATTAAATACATTAGAACTCACGAGCCCAGCCCTTGCCACGTTACTACCGCCCAAGTGTCATTTTTAAGGTGTATTAATGTTATGTTTTATTTTATATGCTGATATAAAAGCCTGAGTGGTGGCAGCTACCATAAATACTGAAGATTGTAAAGTAACAAGGGGGTTGCCAGGTAAACCCAAGATCAGGAAATAACTAGATACGAGACAATTATATCAGAGAAAAGTAACAGAAAAAGACAAATACTTTAAGAAATTGAATTAGAAAGTAAAACATAGGGACAATTAGAACTAAAAGAAAGAAATAACAACCATAAATATAATAAGCATTAGATAAGAAATTAAAATAGAGAAAAGATAAGAAAAGATAAGAATAATTGAAATAAGAAAAATAAGATTAACACAATCTATCCTCCCTAGAGTGATAATAGAGACAGTGGTGGTGGAGCTGGTGGTGAGGAGATGATGCGTCAATTGATTTGTTTGGTAACACTGCCTATAGCACTGCCAGACACAACTGAACAGCTGATGTCTACCCACAAAATTGAGTGGAAGTATAAATGAACAATGTCACATGCCTTCTACATTACGTTTCATCTACCCCCATCATCTACCCCCTGATGAACTCACCTTAAGATCATGGGAACGTGTGAACTGCTTCTCACAAAGTTGGCATGGAAATGGCTTGACTTCATCATGCTTCAAACGATGACGTCGCAAGTCAGTTCCTGTCACGTAGGTAGCACCACAGATTTCACAGGCATAATCTCGCTCACCTAAAGGAAAACCCAACAAAATTTTAAGCATGCTAATTATCTTCTTGGAACTTGTGTTACATTGTCTTTGTGCTGTAAAGTGTTCCAGCAAAAACTAAAGCCTTAGTCAACTTACCGTATTTGCCAGCATATAGGATGCATTTTTTTCTAAAATATTACCCTATGTCCAATGAGCCTGTACTACGAAATATTGTTGGGATAGGTTTGTGCTTTAGGTTTGTTTACCCTAGATCACTATACATGCCCTGTGAATAAATTACCCTGTCTTATTTCACATCCTGCTTGAGTTCGATACAATAAATTCATTTTACACAAGCTGTTGTTCGCATGTTTCAAAACTAAAGATTCATTTTACAGGAGCTGTTGTGAGAGGCCGGCAAGGCAGGCCGCGTCACTTAGCCGGGTCCTGCCTCACCGCTGAAACTCGTCCACTCTGTGAGTATGATTAATAATTAATATATATGTAAATAGTGTGTTTAGCAAAGAAGTGGCATACTTAACTGGTGTTACAAGTAAATAGTTTAGTTAGTATAAAACTAAGGACGTGCTCAATCCTTCAGCTTTTTATATATAGAGTGGCGAAGCTGCTGCAGTATGGTGGTGTGGCCTGCCCTAGCTAGCTGGTACAGTGTGTTACCTCGCTAGGATTTGTGTGTGCCACCAGCCCACTAAAGCTACTTTTCAACATAGTGCTCACACCCTCGATGATGGATGCTGCCTCCAGTGCAACCCTGTGTACATTAAGTCCAGTTGGCCCGAGTCGCCAAGTGACACCAGTACCCACCTCTGCCAGCCATGATTTATATTTTGTATGGTCTCCTTTATATGCTGCCACTATTCTTAATTTATTATTGTTAATACATTTTTTTTGCACTTACTTTTATTTTTCCTTTGGTAAAATCATTTGTAGTTGAGAGATAAACGCAGAGTTAATCATAATTGGTGTGAAGTCTAACAGGGAATGATATAAAATACTGAAAAGCAAGACGAATTATCACAAAAGGCAAAATTATTGCAATGTAAAATAACACACCTACCATACATTAGCTTAATGACAGAGGCAAACTCACATCATCTCGCTGTACCTCCTCTCCCAGCAATCATAAACCATATCACATTTGTGTTTGCTTCGAGAAACATTTGTATATGCAGTAGACAATCATTTTACCATGCCCTAAGCACGGTTGGGGTCCCAGGAGAAAGAACTGATATAACGAGCTTCTAACACAACTACTGTATACACTGTACAAGGGTTACATATCACCACCACTATCATTCTATTCCTGCTTGTTTAGTGGCTAACTATAATACCCTTCAGGCATATAACTCAGTAAATGTCTGTTTGTCAGGGGTGCAGAATGGTGGTGCTAACGTCATGACTGGCTACGTTACCACATTGTTTATTTTACTTATACGTATCTATCAAATAACTCAATAAAATAGTGATTAATAATTAGAAACTTAATTGATAATAAAAATGTTACATGCATGACTAATGTTAATTTGCCAAGCCAACATATAATAGCTATATATTATATTAAAGTGTGTGGTTGTGGACTGAACAGCTGACCTGCCCTCCATATGCCCGTGTGGTGGCAGAGCCGTAAATAGGGAGAGTTCGGTCAACTCGGTGATATGCGGGCGCCATATTGTTACTCAGCTAATGAAGAAGTCTGCGCTCGCACTGTCGAGGATGTTGTTGATAATGATGTATATTCAGGAACATTGCCATACATGTTTCCAATTGGATAAACATGTTTATAAACTATGTGGGAGGCAGCCCAAGAAGATTCCCACCCGCTGAGTAACAACATGGCGCCCAGTTGGTCGAACTCTCTCTATCTATGGCTGTGTGTGGCAGGTGACAGCAGTGCACAAAATGTAAGGTGATCGAACTGAAAAACTCAAGGTCGAATCTTGGAATTACTGTACAGTACATACAGTACTTTTAATTTTGAAAACATATTGATATTGAAACAGTTTATTTAGCCAGAAAAATACAGATACCGTCGACAATAATAACACTATTGACATGGCTGAGCCAATTGAGAGCCTGAGTTCTCTTAGTGGCACTTGAAATACTGTATACTATATATTTTTCTCAAGGAATTATTATATAACATTTTCTGTCATCTGGATTAGTACATGTAACATGGTGTTAGTAAATACAGTACATATGAGACTGTTACCACTATTATAACTTTTTATTTATTTATTTATTTTATTACATTTATATTATAAGTACAGTATTGTTTTTATTTATAAGTAACTCAACGCTTCAACGAACAGCTGGTTGAAGTCTTCATAGAACTTCATTAAGGACTCATAAACCCTTCCTATGATAAGTTAAGTATCTGAGAGTACATTAGGGAAAAAGCAAATTGTCTAAAAAATACTGTATCTCCCAAAGTTTTGGCAAATAATTTGTGGAAGAGTTAAGCCGGCTGATGCACGCCTCTGTGTATCTTGTTAACTGTTGGCAGGCCGAGGGAACCTTGGAGTAAGGTAGCCGGTCACATGATTATTTACTTTCTCTGATTATCATTTATTATTGGGTATATGAGTCTGTATTCCACAACTAGAATAGAAAAGTCAGTATTTTGAATTACCAACCATAGAACAACTCAAGGCTTGTATCTAGTCAGGCATACTAACTGACAATATGTAGTCACAGTTATACTTTCAGTATAATCATCAGGTTTCAATATTCATTGGCCAAAGCTGAGAAGATACTAATTTCTTCGACTGTACATTTTGAATTTAAAGTGAGCCAAAGCACAGATCTTAGTTATTCAATCTAAGCAAGTGGAAACTGCCCCAATGCATAGTCAATTTTGAAATTAAATAATACTGGGCATCTTATAAGATTAAATATATGCACAGTAAACCTGTGGTCAACGGGGAAATGTGTACTGGTATATTCATTGCAACTTACCTGTATGTAGCTTTGTATGCCTTTTAAGAGCATTGATTGCAAAGAATGATTGACCACATATTTCACAGGTAAATCGTCGTTCTCCTGTGTGGTAAACGAGGTGCATTTCCATGTTGGCTTTACGACTAAATGCTTTATGACACACGGGGCATTCAAATGGACGTTCTCCTGTTGAGATAATAAAAAATATATTATTATATTGTTAACACATTTTCCACAAATATGATTATTCAAGGGTCTTTCAAGGGGGATTCACAGGGTTCAAGCAACCCTTCCTCCTCTCCCAAGCCAAAATTCTTTCAAACTTCCAATTTCAGAATCAAAATGAGTTAAACAGCATCATCGAGAATCAAATTTTTTCAGAATTTCCTGAGGCACCACACCATCTGTGCTCACACACCAGCCCCTATCATAGTACTTCAGGTTTCTGAGCCCCTCAACTGTTGGTAAAACCTGTGAATGCCCATTATTTACCCATAAAATATAAAACTCATTACACAACACATAATATATGGATAGTCCAGGAGTTCTCAAGTGACCATGGAATTTGTCTTCATTTGCTACTAAGTACTGTACTGTACAGTACTCAGTAAGACATTCACTGTCACATACTGAACAGTACACTTGCCCTACATGGGCTCTTTTAATGGTTAAGACCAATTTAAGATTTCCTCTGCTGGCAGTCTTTTCAGTTAACTCATATCACTACTGTAGTTAGTTACAATTGGTCTTCGTAATTGGTAGAGGTAGTAAATTTCTCTGTTAATACAGCATAATGCAATCAGTAAATTAAATTTCTGACACTAAGACAATTGCTGAATTAGCCCACAGAGTTTACTAATTTCCATGTCCATTATCTGTCTAGTAAATAATTAAGACATATCTACTGAACACTTTAGAGAACTACTTCTGTTTCAGAATGTCCACACTAAGATACAAGTCTGCCATAAGGTGACATCAAACTTAAGCCCTGAGAAAGTACTTCAAATTCTGAATCACACTATAATACAGTACACAGGTCATATCTTACCTCAGGTACTAAATACAAACACCAAACATATGATGAAACATATGGGGAATCTCAGCATTGTTAGTCTCAAAGCTGCCAACAGACAGCAAACCCCCCAAAGGATATGTGTACTGTGCAAAACTTAACAACAGGATGAGAATGTATATGAAATGATAACTACGACTGAAGTGGTTCAAAGCTTGAATCAAGATTCATGTAACTTTTTCCTCAACTACCCAATGGTTATCCCGCTGACACTGAAGTTACTTCATACCAACTGTTTGTTCAACCCACTTAAATGTAGCTGAATAATATATCTCTATGTTATCATTGTCATACTTGTATGATGACTATACAGGTACCATTTACAAAGTAAGGATGATACTCCAGTTCATGCCTTCATCACCACCAACCATAGAAAAGGATATGACAAACTCAGTCATTTCTTTCTAAATCTCTAAACAATATCATAAAGTATATTTTCAACACAAAGCTTTAAACATTAAATTCATATAAGATTCACAGTAAACTAACCTTTATGTATACGCATATGTATTCTGAGATTAGTTCGGGATGAGAGGACCTTCCCACAAATTGCACACTGACAAGGATTTGGTCCAGAAGTGTGTTTATGTCGGACATGAACCTCCATGTGATTCTTGGTGGTGAAGAATTTCTGGCAGTGACTGCATTGGTATGGCCGCCCATTGTTATGTTCCGACCGTTGGTGTTCTCTCAGTTCACCTCTATCAAGGAAATATTCAATCAAACAACCTGTTAACATACTTATGATACCACGTTTTATACTTTACCACAGGATGGACAAGTAAAAATATCCCTAAAAGAACTACAGGTGTGGTTCATATTACATATCACCGAACTACCTTCTGTTCCTACACAGAAGCTCACACCATCACTCCGTCCTGCTACTACAATGTTCCTCCCCATCCTACGCAAACACTCACACCATCATGCCACCTGATACAGCTAAAAACTTCCCTTACAAACTCACTTCATCACTCTCCCCATCTATACAAATTACCCAATAATACAACATACTGTAAATAAATGCAATGTTTTGGGAAGTACTGTATACTGTAATTTGAAATTCAGCATTATTTTTATTACATAAAATATCATTTTATAAAATGAATTATACATATACAAGCATGGGAAACTAAGCTTGTCAATGACACCAACAAAAATTCTCTAAGATAAGTAATAAGGTTGTCAAGAATTTTAGGAAATAAAAGTTGACCGAAAATTTTTTTTTATCTGCATTCTTTACTATTGCTGTTAGCTGAAGTAGACTCAATTTCTTTGCTGCTCTTCAGTGCTCAATACGGACGACGAGGCATGGCCAATTATGATAACAGGGCTAAAGTTTGAATCACAATAATCACTACACTGTAGGAAATATTCCAACAATTATCCAAAATATACACAATCAATAATTGTCATTTACACACACATACCAGTAATCTAGGGACCGGAGTGTGATGTCCAGTGGTTGGAGTATGGTGGAATTTAAATGTCCACGAATGATAGCAACTCTCCTCGCTATCCTTGCCTAGAGTGAGGAGGGCTGCTACCATGTGTGGACATTTAAATCCCACCATACTCCACCCATTGGACATAAAACTCTGTCCCCTGGATTACACGTGCAGGAGTGACAATTGTTGACTGTATGTTTTTGACAAACTTATCCCACTGGCAGAGACAGAGGGTGCTAGAGGTACGATAGATTTTTTAATACAACTATTTTCATCTTGAGAATGCAACCAGTGAGTCCAAGACCATGTGTGTGGCAAAAATTTTGGACACTCCCCAAACATCCAAGACCATGACAGTGTTAAAGAAAAGAAAGTTTCTTGCTGTTATTGTTGCTTGACTTCCATAACTAACATTCATGTTTATGTGAATCCTTCCAAATAACTCAACCTTAACTCTCCAGGCACTGGGTTATGGTAAGCACACACCCTCCTCCTCCCATGAAGTTAAAGGGCAAGATCCCTACATCACAAAAGACGAGACGCTCTGAGCAGGGAAGTTGGGGGCCTGGAAGGCATGAATGAGTAAAAGATACAAGCTTACTTGGCAACATAATCAAGCCAGACCCGTAGGGCGAGTCAGTACCGTGAAATAACAATGCACCGTATGATGTGAACCGAAGCCTATCTGGTAATTATGCACATTCACCATATCTAGACATGATCAGTCTGATCATGTCACACACATACCTGCTGTTAAAGAAGACTTACCTATTAAAGAAGACAAATCTACACACACGACACTGGAGTGGACCAGGTTTCCTCTTCCCACACCCATCTGTTTCCTCCTCACAGCCTGGGCCTTCATTTCCTTCTTCTTCACTAATGAACCAACAGAAATGTGAAAAAATTACTACAGTATTATAAATACAGAAACTACCAGGTAACTTATAAAAATTCCAGGTTAACTGCCATTACCTTAACTCATATTCTTTAGCAAAGGCAACCTCTCTTGTAACAGAACCCTGTCTTAACATATTTTTGCTTCAATCTAGTCTAATAATACTATACAGTACATACAGCATGCCATTAAAATTTGAGGTGGTTTGGGTCTCAAAATGGCTGTTAATTGCCAAAAGCCCGAATATCATTTTCTGACTGGGATGGGGGGGGGGGACCTTTTTACTCATGTGCAAAATAATGTATATTCCCTTTATGTGTTTGCCCTTAGGACAATTGTTTCTTTTACTTTTTTTTCAAAATATGTATTTAGGATGGTGTGTGCAAATAAATGAGTAAAAATAAATGAAGAAAGTTACATATAACTACCTGAAAATACGAATTGAAAAACAATAACACCTCACAATTTGGCCCAGTAGCCTGGTGATTACAACGAGGAGCTAACCCTGCTACAATGCCATGATTAAACACTATTATAAGTATATTCTTCTATCAGTAAACACTCACAATGGCAATAAATCCAGTGAAATATGGCAGGTAGTGAGGAGAGTTACAATAGCAAACGATGCGCTAACTAGCAGTCACTCCCTCCTTACCCGCTCCTGTTGCAAGGCGTAGCCAGGCGTACGTATGGGAAAAATACATGACTTTCTTTTCTCTCTTCACTTGTTTGGGCGCCTTCCCACAGCTGGATGAAGGTGGTTGAGGGTGTTTGGGAGCCATCGCAAGGAGCACAGTTGTTAAAGAGGGTAGAGTAGCACAAGCGTGAAACAAACAAGTGTTTAACCCAGACTGTCGTTGAGGCGGAGTAAGCGCACATGGTCCAGCCACCTGGGACAAGAGAGATATCTTGCGGGATGCCATAAAGCTCGTGCGCTCCCAGTCCCGGCCACGAAAATGCCGCCAACTTTAAAACTACCCGCAGACATTCTTGGGTACATCCAGGGTGTCATCCGAGAATAATTAAAGGCCGCGAGTTGTAAGGGAATGCTGAATATACATTTTTAGCTGTCATAATGATTGCAATAACGATTTAATTTCACAACAATTGCTATACAATATAGACAAAAAAATAATTCCAATTTTATTTATACCATATACATTATAAAAAAATGAGCATGAATTGGCAGAACACAGTAACTGAGGAAATCTCAAAAAGGTAATATATTTTTGGAAAAATGAACAGTTCAGACACGAATTTGAGAAGTTAGACTGCCTTCCAATCAGTAAATATTGTGTTACTTCTGTGGGCTACAGCATTACAGACAGACACACACTGCATCATGCAAACCTAAATACAGTAATACCACTAACATCTACTCGATCTCTTCTGAGATAAATCGGTAAGAATTGTAGAACGTGTGTAAAGAAAATTATTTATGAAAAATTGCAGCGATATAAATGATGTGATTAAACTACAAACCTTACTTCCTCCTCCTCCTCCTCCCCGTCCTCTTCAACTTCATGGTCTTTAACTGCTACATCACTACCAGTGACAGTCACCTCACACGCTTCAGGTTCTTGGTACAGGGGGTCATCTACAGCAGCTTCCTGAACGGTGCTCACCCGATGCACTGTATGTTGACGGACAGTTCTTCTTGGAGAAGGCTGGTTCACTTGTGGGCTGGACGTGTCGGCACGGGTCTTGTTACGGCTACCGGGCGGTCGCCCACGTCGTTTGACTCTTGTTGTTTCATCAGTATCTGGTTCCTGCATAGTTTAAAAAAATAAAAATAAATAAAATAAAATCTAAATTTCTCAAGAATAAACTACTGTATATGGCAGACATTAGGCAGTATCAATCTTACATTCAACAACGTACTTGCTTTTGTTGGTTGCGTACTACAGGTTGGACGGTCCGAGATGGCCGACTAAAATTTCTACTGCTAGGTAGTCTCCCACGTCCTCGAGGATTCACCTGCAAAAGCCACTCAATTTTTTCTCCTGTTCCTGCACATCATTATTATGTTATTAGCAAGTAAAATGGCACCAACATTGTAACACAATTACCACCAGGGTTTTACTTTATTCAAATCAAATTTTCTACATTCTCAACTACTTGGGCATAACTCATATACAGTTATATCTCCATTAGCTGGAATCCCTCTTTGCTGGAATACTCCAATGGCCGGAATTAAAATTTGCTCTGAATTTTTCCGGAAAATTTATCTAAATTCTGGGTTTGTGAACCATTTTCCCAAGTTGAAAATCAGGCGCATTTTCTGGAAAATTACAGAAACTCTCTCCAAATCTGTGGGGAATGCCTTTCACACACTAAGCTCTTGTTCTACTGAGAACTTCGAGGATACACAACCAAAGTCCCATAAAGAATTTCTCCCATACATGACAACACAGTTAACCCAGAACTTGTTTCACATACAACCACATCCCTTACACTCTACAAAACACATATTACTGCCACTCTTCTCTTTCTAATTTTCACTCACCTTTGTCCTACTATCAGCAGAATTTTGAGCCATAAGAATATGATTGACCAAATGTTTCTTGAGCTGTGTCCACTGTGTATACTCTTGACCACAAACATTACATGTTAAGTCATCTGTGCTCACAGTAAACTTTTCCTCTGTTTCTCTCTTTATTGAGGCAGTTCCTCCATTTGTTGCCTTTGGTGCCGACGACACAGAGGAATCACACACATTAGGATCATCATACTCGATAACCAGCGACTCTCCAACCTAAAAATAAATAATTAGTATCCAATACAGTAACAACAATTTAGTTTCATTTAAATGTCTATTGATGATGAAAACTGGTATGGGCATAATTTTGCAAAACACTCACTATATGTAGCTGCATCCTCACACATGTAAATTTCAGACACAAAAAACAACACTCAAAATATGTCAAAGCATTCTGAATAATGGTTTGATTACCCTCACCTTGTTAAAAAAAAGAGAAGGGTCTCTACATATACTACCATACAAATGTCTAGATAATAAAATGCTTCCATATTAACCTCCACAGATAAACTGAATAACAAATTAAAATAATACATTGTATGTGGTCACCTTAGGTTGTACTGTGGCAGTACGGGCAGGAGGTGTGCCTGATGATGAAGAGGCTGTCGTTTGAGAAGTGGTTGGAGGAAGTTGAGTCCCAAAGTCCAATAAAGAGGGTTGAGGATGGGTTAAGTCTTCCCCATGAGGACTCAGGGGAGTATTTGGTGTCTGGGGCGTTGCAGGGCGAGGTGACCCAGGCAGCTCCGCACCCTGTTGCTCTACTCCTCCCTCAACCTCCAGCACGGGATACACAGCACTGAATAACAACATTTAATGAGACTAATAACATCAATACCTATCAAATTTCCTTACTTCCTTTAGTGTTCTTTCCTGTTTAACACCTATTTTTTTCTACTTTTTCTTTATCTTCAATTTTCAAGTATAACAAACCGCTCCTACACTTTAAAGGTTTACATTTAAATAATACATCCATTCTAAGTCACAATATTTTACTAAAAGAAGAATATCAGATATTCAGAATTTATCTATAACCCATATACAGTACAGCTCCTATCTAAGATGAAGTCCATGATGAAATTCACAATAAAACTTTAAGCAGATGGCTGTACCATACATGTCCCCTCATATTATCCTCAATTCAATATTATGTTTTGATTTTTATTCATTTTTATTATTACCTACACAGCCTAAGTATCGAAATTCTGCTTTATCATGCTGGATTAAGATGATATATTTTTGTCATCTGATAATTTACAAAAATAAAACCTTAGAGCTGATGATGTACTGTACTGTATGTTATTGAGGAGGATCACCATAGTATAACACATGTGGTCAGAGTAAATGAATGACAGCAAATGAGGAAGAAAATGTTGAGGGATTGAGTGAAAGTGGGTCCCATAGACCACACGACCAGTTAGGGTCTGTGTGGGTAGCACATACTTTATACTAAGGAGGCAATGTGGTTGGCACTGCAGTCAACTGCCGACACTTATCCAACAGTAAAGTTTGGTAATCAGTTACAGCAATCCTTAGGACAGCGAGCAACAGAAAATGTGTACTAAATGTTTCAAAACTTCCAAAGCAGATGTCAATATTGCTGAGGCAGTTTTCATCTGTAATATTATAATATACAGTCAAGAAATTCCAGCTCAATCGTGTTACAAGTGGTTCTCCTCATAAGATATCTGAGAGTGGAAAGTTCTTGTAAGTTTAAATTCAAGAGAATTACCCAAAATTTGACAATGAAAAGAAATCTGGACACAAACACTGAAAACCAGATACACAGTACTATCTCCCTGACCAATAAATATGAGGCCAACACTACCAGTAACCATAAATGTGGAGCAGGATGCAAGTTACAATTAAGTCAGGCATGATGGGACAAATTATACAGATAAAGGATAATCAAAGACAGGACATGGGCTCAAAATATGCACAAGGTACAGGAAGCAAAACTGTAGTAAGAACTGTCTACCAGAGGACTGCAAAAGAATCTGATTTTTTTCCCTTTCCTGAACATATACATTACATAACATACTCGTCCCTGTCAATGAAAATACAGTACCTACTTAAATACTTGTACTGTATTATACAGGTATTTATCATACTGCAGTCAAAGCCAGTTGGCAAGTGTAGTATCTTTCCCCAAAATGCAACATCCAAGGAGCCAACTCTCTCTACATACTCTAGCATCAAAGACTCTACAGCAATAATGTAGTGAACATCTTTCTTTATACTTGTTAAGTTGAGGTGGTGGTGGTGGAGGACGGTCGCTGGCCTTCTGTTTGTGACGTCCAGTAATCTCGTGGTCCCGGAGCCCCTTAGCACCCACTGACTTAATGCAGATGTCCACCATGCACCAGCGGCACAGGGCATATGTCTCCCCCTTAGATGATGGACCAACCCATTCATACTCACTTTCATATTTTGTGCTGCAAAAATAAGTTTAAAATGTAAGAAATTCATCAATTCTCTATGTAGAGAAGAGCTCACAGTAAATAATTATTACTAATCAGGCATATTATGTACCTCACATTAAAAAAACACCATTCTAATTAAATACAGGTACAGAAAATTCTGATATCTTCAGTTCCTTTTTACTTTGGAAGATTTCTGCCACCAAGATGCCTGCAGGGTGACTCAGGTACAGAGCTAACAAAAACTCAACCTGCATTTTGTCATTCATTTTCCCTTTTAACTGATGAGATTTGCTATGGTGTTCCCTTTCTACAGCAAGATTACAAGATTATTGTGCAGTATTACTTCACTAAAGTTTTTTTTTTTACATACAGCGTGCCCAGATAATTCACGGATTTTTATTTCACGGTCCTCTATTATTCGCGGATGACACCCTGGATGTACTGTAGCCTAGAATGTCTGTGGGTAGTTTTAAAGTTGCTGGCATTTTTGTGGCCAGTACAGGGGAGAGCGCGAGTTTTGTGGCGTCCCGCAAGGTGTCTCTCTTGTCCCGGGAGATTGGCCCATGCGTGCCCCAGTTCCCTCCGCCTCAGTCCGGGATAAACATTTGTCCATCTCACACATGTGCTACTCAGCTCTCTAACAACTGTGCTCCTCGTGATGGCTCCCAAACGCCCTCAACCAGCTGTGAGGAGCAGCCCAGACAAGTGAAGAGAGAAAAGCAAGTCATGACCCTTGTGAAGGTACAACTGCTGGACAAAATTAGGAGTGGCCAAAGCTCTGCCGCGTGTGGTCGGGAGTATGGCATCAAGGAGTCAACTGTCCGTTACATTAAGAAGAAAGAGAAGGAAATACAACAGGGCATTTCAACATAGTGACAGAGCAAAAAGGTAAAATTGACTGGGAGTGAATACATACACTGATTGATTACGAGTTGCTGATAATTTTTATAAAGGTTGGGACTGGGCTGTTCATATGGGAGTGTAAGCTGGATTGTCAGTGATTCATGTGTGATAATACAGGCATCAGGTAATTCCTACAGCCCCCCCCCCCCACTGCAACATAGTAGCCATTCAGGTGGTCAGTCTGTTCTTTGTTATGTCCTTTATTTAAGAGCAAGACAAGTGAGAAGTACACTTAGCACTGCCAATCAAGGCCTAATATTACATGCTGAGTATACAATACAGTATTTGGGATTAATTAACAACAGTACAAAACCAGGCACTTTTCCTCACCTGTACTTCGTCTCATACTTTTTACGGCAGCGTGTCTGTGGGGGGTTGTCAGCCCCCTCCCCAGCTATAAACACTGACATCTTCACTTCATAACATCAACCACAACATAACCTGGAATATATAACCTATTATTAAACATCAACAACTTAAGAGACAATAAACACCAATTTATGGTATTACATTTATTACTGTTATTATAATTAATCATAAAATTTGGGGATCCCATAAGTTCATAACCCATTGGAGGAGGGAGGGAGAATGACTTCATTTAGTGATCCAGTGTTACCTGACAATAGTGGGCAAGTTATGAAGAGGAAATTAAATAATAGCAGAAGACTTCAGCGTGGACCCCACAGAGGACTCCCTTAACCACATACAGTATTTAGAAACAGTGTTAACCGTAAACAGTTTTCCCATGGGATTTGATGTGTTATGAACACTTTTTAACCTTGATTTTTATAACAAATCTCTAAATTCTGAGATGGGGGGGGGGGCTTATCTCAGAAAATATTGTTTGTGGCAGAAATGAAGGTTAAATTCGTTCATAACATATCACAAACAATCGGAAAAACACAGGTCCGACTAATTACCCAAATGTACCCAAATGTAGCCAAATATAGCCGGAATGAAGTCAAATAATGGTCCTACATGAATAAATCGGACTGCCAATCACTTCTCGACTAGCATTTGGTGTCAGAAAGTCACAAAAAATTGGTAAACTTAATTTAATCGAGTTAATAGATCAAGTGCATGTACCTAACCTAACCTAACCAAACCTCAGAAACACAAAAAATTGGTAAACTTACTTTAATCTGAGCACAGGATCAAGTGCATGTACCTAACCTCAACTAACCTAACCTAACCTCGACTAGCATTTGGTGTCAGAAAGTCACAAAAAATTGGTAAACTTAATTTAATCGAGTTAATAGATCAAGTGCATGTACCTAACCTAACCTAACCAAACCTCGACTAGTATTTGGTGTCAGAAATTCACAAAAAATTGGTAAACTTACTTTAATCTGAGTTAATAGATCGCGTGCATGAACCGACGGAGCGAGGAATTACCTAAATGTAGCCGCAATGAAGTCAAATGATGGTCGTACAAGCGTAATTCGGGCTGTGAATCACTTCTCGATTATTATTTGGTGTCAAAGTAAAAAAAAATGGTAAACTTAATTTAATTTGAGTGGTGTTAGGTTAGGTTAGGTTAGGTTAGGTTAGGTTAGGTTAGATTAGATTAGGTTAGGTTAGGTTAGGTACATGCACTTGATCTATTAACTCAGATTAAATTAAGTTTACCAATTTTTTGTGACTTTCTGACACCAAATACTAGTCGAGAAGTGATTAGCAGTCCAATTTATTCATCTAGGACCATTATTTGACTACATTCCGGCTACATTAGGGTAATTAGTCTGACCCAATACTATCAGTCACAGTAAATAAAATATTACCCAAGACTTCTTATCTAGAAATATATACTACACATACAGTTCACAATTAGGTGGAAAAATAATTCTAAAGTATTATCCCTTAAAAAACTCCTTTACCATCACCATACTAACTTCTTTCACTCTAAATAGATAACATTAGAGGTTAGTAGATGAATGTACCACTGCCAGTATACAGTTTGATGTGTGAGTGTGTGAGTGAGTGAGTGAGGTGTGAGTGAGTTAGTGAGGAGTGAGTGTGGTGTGAGTGAGGTGTGAGTGAGGTGTGCGTGTGTGTGTGAGTGCGTGAGGTGGCGTGTGTGAGTGAGTGAGGTGTGAGTGAGTGCGGTGGTGTGTGTGAGGTGTGCGTGTGTGAGTGAGTGCGTGAGGTGGCGTGTGTGAGTGAGTGCGTGAGGTGGCGTGTGTGAGGTGTGCGTGTGACCCGCCACCTAACAACAACAACAAAGATGGACGACCAGGAGGTGATGCGCGACGTGTCACCATTATCAAAGGTAAATCCCATAATATATTCATCACCAACTATATAAATACCTTATCTTACGACGATGGTGTCACATTACTATCTGGGTGATGGTTGAATACTATAGTGAACAAAATAACTTGATTAACAGGCAGGATCCTCTGGGGGTAAAGTGACTCCCCGCGCAGACAACATCCCCCAATACCGAGTCACATATCTCACACTTCCTCACACTACGTCTCACTAAACATCCTGGAATTATATGTGGTCTCTTATAAATAGACTTATCTGAATCACTGTTAATATTAAAGTATATTTGGATCTGAGTAACAGTGGGTAATAATAATAAATCTTGCCAGCTGTGGTCGGTGGGTCGTTGTTGACCGACGCGTTACCCTCTGCCAGCTTGGCCCCCTCAGCCGCCAGGTTTAAAAAGCTTTAATACACACAAAATAAATACCGTCGATTTACCTTCAGATATATTATATTTGATTAACTTTAATTATACTTTAATTTATAACTAAATTATAATATATTTCATTGTTACAGTTTATATGACCGCTTCAATCTATGGAGAAAATATAATAGTTATCCCTACCATAGAAAATATTTGAGGGTAAACTTTAATACAAGACTCGGCCACACCAAGACTCGGCCTCACCAAGACTCGGCCACACCAAGACTCGGCCACACCAAGACTCGGCCACACATACATAATATCAAGGTAAAGAACCAATCAAGACTCAATGAATTAACTTTTAGCGACGTCTGACCCTATGGTACCCAGCTACAGGAAATTAAAAAGTAAAAATGCCATGTACCATTGACAAGGAAGTGAGGGAGCCTGATGTTAATGAGTCTTCCAGAAGGTGAATGAAGTCAACCTGTATATTGTATTATAAGTATAGTGTGAATGTGAGTGTGCATTATATGTTGTTTGTAAGTGAGTGAGAGTAAGTTATGAATCTTAATGATTGTGTGTATGTGTGTGTGTGTGTGTGTGTGTGTGTGTGTGTGTGTGTGTGTGTGTGTGTGTGTGTGTGTGTGCGTGTGTGTGTCTGTTAAATTTCAGATACAGTCACACATTCGTACACAAGGCCACTTTTCCAACTCGTGGGCTGTAGGTATATCCAGTGCAAGAGCAGGCAGGCAGAGACATTAAGATCCTACCTAAATTACAGTGAACACAAAATAAATATGAAATTCCTCTAACTAACTTCACCTAAACTAAACCTAAGCCAAATTAACATAACTAAACTAACCTAACTTAACATAGAGTTGTTAAGTGTCACTTGTTTGGTTCGTGTCTTCTAATGTTAGAAGGTTTGGAGTCGTTGTCTCTTAGTCACAAGGAAAGCAGGATCTCATATGCGAGTCCCATGCGTTCAAATTCACCAGGGAGTCAGGAAGTGTTGAAGGCGACTTTTGGTTTCACCTTCCCGGAGACTCTTTCACGGCACGTCAGCCTCAGCCTACAGCGCCGCCTTCACAGCCTTCCTCCTCATCCCAGCCCCTCCCTCACCCCCGCTGCGCCTGGGACAAAGAAGACGGGTATTTTAGGCTCTTCTTTAGTATCGTCTCAGCCTTTGTTGCTTTATGTAGAGAGAAAATGTTTACATAATGGAAGGAGCCAAGGTGATACTTTGGATTACACACACACACACACACACACACACACACACACACACACACACACACACATACACACACATACACACACAGGCTGAGAATAACGTAATGGTAGGATGTAGATGAAGACCAAGGATATGGAAGAATCGGATGAAGGAAAGATGGGCGAGAGGGGGAGATGATGATGGTGATGATGGTGGTGATGATGATGATGGTGGTGATGATGATGATGGTGGTGATGATGATGGTGATGATGATGATGGTGGTGAGTATGATAGTGGTGGTGATGGAAATGATAGTGATGATGGTGAGTGTGTTGGGCAGCTGTAATATATCAGTTTCGGGGTCCTGTGGTGTTAAGGGAGCATCATAACAGAACACATCTATTACATCTGTTATGAATATATGAATAGCAATGAATCAAGAGAGAATTTACCTGTGTGTATTTGCTCTTGATATCGGTCACTTCACTACAACAAGATGAGTGAGTGAGCTGTAGAATACCGGATAACCATAAACGGACGTCGGGAACTCAAAATTATATAAACAGGTGAATAATTAATCACCTAGGGTAACCGAATCACGCACTCAATTCTTAAAGAGTGCGTGAAAGTATGAGTTATTCGTCTATACTTATATCTCGGCTATGAAATGTAAGTATGTTGGATCCACTTAAAATAATTGAGGATTTGTTCCGAGGAGTTGGCTTCACCGTCTGTATGTGTAGACGAGGCTCCTAAATTTCACCTGTATGTGTGTAAAAATATATTCAGGTGGGTTGAGGTTGTAAGTATTGTTTTACGAGTCACTTTAAAGGATCAAAGAGATATGATAACTCTTCTTAGGCCTATAGACGCATTATAGCCACTCTCCTTACACAGACACAGACATACAGACAGAAAAATGGAGACACACACACACACACACACACGCACACACACACACACACACACACACACACACACACACACACACACACACACACACACACGCACACACACACACACACTTTCATTTCACCATAATATAAAGGATCTCTGTTATGTCAGGAGATAAAGGGGACTAGTTCCGGCTGCCATATGTACCGTTTAATAAATTACAATTAAACATTTTTCATTTGGCGCTGAATATCTATTATATATAAAAAACAAAATCTATATATGATATTTAGTTGTATAATTTAGTTTTTTTGTTATTGTTTGTATAATATTCCTCGATAATTGCCTTTTGATAATTCTGGATAATTTTATTTGTGCAATTTTTTCTGCACATGTGACATTTGTACGTATAATTATATATATATATTTTTGCTTTATAATAACTCCCATGTACTAGTGTGTTTAAGATGAAAAGTTTGTATATTAACCAAACTAAGTCATCATTATTCATTCCAGATTAGTCATTCTTTTACACAGCCAAAAACTATTCATTAATTTACATACATATATATCGGAGAAGTTTGTGTACATGTAAATTACTGATGAATAAGACAGCCATAATTTGTACTATGGTCTCTCTCTCTCTCTCTCTCTCTCTCTCTCTCTCTCTCTCTCTCCTAATTAATTACTCACAAGCGACTCAAAAATTATGGCGAACTAATTGAAAATATTAATTGACATACCAAAGTCAAGAAAATTGCCCCTATATGAGGACTTACCTATTCACTCCCTCACTCACAGCGGCACACGACAGCTGGTATAGAGGACAGTGTCTGTGTCTGTCTGTCGGTGTTTATTTGTTTGTTTGATTGTTTAGTTTGTTTCATGTTTGCTGTCTACGGCTACAGTCCTAGAGCGATGATAACTGAAATTTGTGGGGGAGATGAACGTGTACCCTAGAAGTACCCTGAAGGTGGAATTTTAGAGATGATAGTATAGTTATATTATAGTAGATGTTGTATAGGTGATAGTGTAGTGGATGTTGTATAGGTGATAGTGTAGTGGATGTTGTATAGATGATAGTGTAGTGGATGTTGTATAGATGATAGTGTAGTGGATGTTGTATAGGTGATAGTGTTAACCCGCGTACCTGTTAGTGTCGCGTTCTCTCTCTCTCTCTCTTCATTCTACCTTCCCTTCACCTCTCGTTCCTCTTCTCTTTTTCATGTGTGTGTCTCTTTCCCCCTCTTCCATTTTCTCTCTCTTCTCTCACCTCCCTCCATCTCTTTATCTCTGTCTCTCTCTTTCTCTCTCTACCCTCTTTCTCTTTCAATCTCACACACACTCTTTTCACCCTATCTCTTTCTTTCTCTCTCTCTCTCTCTCTCCCTCTTTCTTCCCCTAATCCTCCTCCTATTCCTCCCTTTCCTTCCCCCCTTCATCCTACTTCTCGCTCAAATCCACAATTCTTTGACTATTATTTCCCTACCGCTTGGAGGGAGTGAATTATTTCCCATCAAAAAGTACAGGAAATCCCTAGTTTTCCCCTATCACATGTATGACCCCGAACCCCTGAATGCTAAACCCCGAACCTCTGAATGCTGAATCCTGAACCCCTGAATACTGAAACCGAACCCCTGAATGCTGAGCCCCGAACCCCCGAATAGTGTACCCCGAACCCCCGAATGCTGAACCTCGAACCCCTGTCTTTAGAATCATTGGCTCGCGGCCAGGGCACACCCAGTTCACCCACTTGTGAATGGGTACAGTCAAAAGCACTAACTGCTACCTCCCCTCCCCTCCCCCTAGTAGCGGGAGCCATAACCAGTGGAGGCCGACACTCACACAATACAACATCACCAGCCATGATAGTTCCCAAATTACCCAACAACGGGGAGGGAGAAGAGGGGGGGAGAGAGAGAGGGAGGAGAAGAGGGTTTGTCCGATCGCCAGGCCTTCACTTGACTATACCTGGCTTTTTTGTGCACCGAAAAAAACCCCCTAATCTACAGTGTGCTGTATCCAAACTACCCCTCACGAACCATCATATATCTACGAGATCCACTTTTACTTTCTTATAATAAACTAACGAGGACATTTATAGACGGTTAACGATCTTATTGAAATTCGAGTGATCGTGACCGTAGACTTGTAAACCATACCTTAAGTCACTCACCTTGGGTCATCGTGAGAGGAGGTCTCATATCCTTCAAGACCATTTTGGGACAGTAAGCCTTCGGTACACACGGAGGCATCAAGACCGACACTGCACTCGACCGCCTCCACTTTCCTAATCTGTAAAGTTAGTTAATCGTTTACACCTGGATGAAGTAAAAGTACGAGGATGAACTCAGGTCGAGACAGGGTTTATGTGAGAGAGAGAGAGAGAGAGAGAGAGAGAGAGAGATTGTACAAAATTAAGTGGGTGAATTAAACAATTTTAAACCTTAACTCTTAACTTTTCTTAAATCAACGTTAGCTTCGTGGTAGATGTTAATGCGTCACTCACTCACTCACTGTTCTCTCGTCGCGTCAAGTACAATGAAAGGAGAATATAAGCTGGTAAGTATAAGGCAGGTGGTGTCTGTACCTCTGACGGAAATGTTATGATGCACACACACACACACACACACACACCCACACACACACACACACACACACACGAGAGATGATGGTCGAGTGTTTGTTTGTCTTCACGAGTCCACGGCCTCCACTACACACACACCCTTAGAGTGAGTGTTGTTGACGACTAGGAAAGCCTTGACTCTTCCCGACTCTACCTGTCAACATTTCATTAATTAGCCAGGGTTGAAGAGGATGTCCGTGGTGGTCCGTGATTAGAGAAGGTCCGTCATACACATCTTCTTTGACTTACATGTTGTAGTAACGTTAGGTTTTGGTTAGGTTAAATTAGATTAGATTTGTTTAAGGTCGTTTATATTTGGTTAGATTAGGTTAAGTTGGTTAGGTTTGTATTGGTAAGGTTAGATTTCCTTAGGTTTCGTTTGGTTAAGTTAAGTTTGGTTTGGTTTGTTGAACTAGCTTAAATATACATCGCTACGAGACGAAAATAGAGACATCTACTTAGTATTATTCACGATTCATTATTATACTGACACATCCGTAAATAGATACGTTCACTTAATTACACTGAGCTTATACCCTTAATTAGATCTGAGACGAGGTGTTGATGGTGGCCAGGTGTTGATGGTAGCCAGGTGTTGATGGTAGCCAGGTGTTGATGGTGGCCAGGTGTTGATGGTAGCCAGGTGTTGATGGTAGCCAGGTGTTGATGGTGGCCAGGTGTTGATGGTAGCCAGGTGTTGATGGTGGCCAGTGTGTGAAGCACATAGGTAAGCAGG